CACGCAGCGCGGGGAGTGGGGCTGAGGGGGCGCCGCTGTGGGAGGGCCGTGGTGTCCCGCAACCCGTCACCGGGCCGGAGTCGTGCCTGGGGCACCTATTGCAGGGCTGGCACTGCACGTGGCCTCCCTCTGCCCCACGCGGCAGGGAGCAGTAAGCAGAGCGGCAGACAGGGCGGGAGCAGGGGATCAGTCAGGGCGCGGCCTGTGACTCGCCTGCCAAAAAGATGCCCCCCTCACCGTGCATTCGGTGCAGGGGAAGCCAGGGGGTGCATGCCCTGGGGTCTCCTGTAGGTCGTTGTGTCCTGGCGAGATGGGGGCATCATTGGAGCATGGATCCTTAGGAAGGGGGTAGGAGTTGGGCAGCAGCAGGAGGAGCACCAATGCTTTCAGTGACCTGAGGAAGTCTGGAAAGTACTGACAGGTGGCTGCGTGCTCGCCAGCCTCAGTTTGCATGCCTGGGAGACTTTGCTGGTGGAAATGGGCACTTGTAGCATTTCTAGGGCATTAAGGTGTCTCTAATATTAGACGGGCCCTTCTGAGGATGTTGTTCTGGACATGAGTGCGTGCATAAAGGGGAGGGTTAAATACTGACATTCTCCTTGTGGACCTGGCTTGTAATTGTCCAGAGGGCAGGGTGTGGAGTTAGTTCAGGGGTGGGCAATTATTTTGGGTGGAGGGACACTTACTGAGTTTTGGCAAGCCATGGAGGGCCGCATGACAGGCAGCCCAGGGCAGATAAATACTAATTTTCTAAATTTTTTAGGGTCACCACAGCCCGGATAGAATGGCCTGGCAGGCCACATTTTGCCCACCCCTGAGTTAGTTTCGCTCTGTTGATGTCCCGGCTGAGTAATCTCGGTGGGATACTGAGTCGGGGAGAGAGAATCCAAAGTGGAAGAGGAGGGGTGTGAAGAAGCAGGGGAAAGAAAGCAATGATGCAAAACAAAAGATGTACGAGGGGAAAGGGGAACAAATCAATTAATGGTAGCAGGAACAGGTCTTGTGTGTCTGTGATAAAACTCCTGTAGAAACTGCCATGCGCACTTGAAAGTTTTGAGAGAGAGGGCATTTTGCTGGGTGAAAATGACAAAAGTCAGGCTGGTTTATAATGATGCTGGTGTTTGTTTTTCAGTGTTCCTGCTTCAGGTTTGCTTTACAGGATTAGAAGCTCAAAGATTGAGTGAAAGTGAGCTCAGGTGTGCCAATGCCTCTTCTGAGCCCAGGTAGGTCTGCTGTTTCAAAAGTGTAACAACATTTCCAGTAAACATGTATACAAGTGAATAAATCAGTGAAATCTTGAGGTTACAAAACAAACAATATGACCAACTATCAAGGTGAGGCTGAAGTACAAAGTTCAGATTTAGTTGTTTTCGCTTTTCTGAGGTACAAGAGTCTAACAGATTTAGGGCTGGGAACTAAGGACTCTGAAATCTAATCCTGACTCAAGGACTGACTGGCTGTGTGGCCTAGACCAAGGGTGTCAAACATGCAGCCTGTGGACTGGATCCATCCCGTGGAGCTGGGTCATTCGGCCTGCAGATTTTGCCCCAACTCTGGTTGCAATAGGGGATCTTCTTGCAGTGGCAGCTAAGCGCCTGGGCAAGAGTCACAGTGCAGCAGCTGCAGCATTGTGGGAAGAAGCCTGATACTGTGGCTTGTTCTGGCAACAGGTGCCAAGTAGCCAGCTCTTGCCTGTGTGCTTGGCTGCAGCTGCAGGAAGAAATCATAGTGCTGCTGGGGCTCCAGCACCACACACGCTTCTTGCTTGCTTGGCTGCCAAGCACCCAGGTGAGAGCAGCAGTGCTAGAGCCCTAGTATTGCCCTGGGAAGAAGCCTTATGCCACAGTTTGTTTTCAGGGTGACAGCCAAATGCCAGGGTGGTGGGCCTCTTCCTGCTGGGTCCAAGATGGGTGCCACAGGTGCTAGATCTAACGTGGGGTGGTGGATCCTGATCTGGTCTATGGACCAGACCCATACCGGGCATCTTTCAAATGAGTTTGACACCCCTGGCCTAGACTAATCATTTTACACTCTTCATTTCACTTGTGAAACATGACATTTATATACTTTCTGGTATTGGTGAGAGAATGCCTAATTATAATTTGGCTCATTGTTTTTGTAGGTAAGTTATTAGTGTTCTGTAAGCAAAATGTTATAGAATGATCTGAAAACTTTCCTTTAGACTAAGCCCTTTCTGGTGCACTGACAGTGGAACAAGCCTAACAGTTCCACAACTTGATTCTTCATGCAGTTGATATGAAAACAAGTTCTCTTACTGATCTGGGAATGTATGGGGATTGTAACGTTAAAAGGAATTTTATGGCAAAGCTGTGCGTTGATCTTGAATATTGCTACCGTTATTCATTAAGTGGAGTATATGCTCAATATATGCAACAGTTCAACCTTAGAAATGTGGACTTGTTTATTAAAAATGAAAGCCCAAACTGAAAACATTTTTATATTTACATATTAAATATAGAGCTACAGGTTAGTTTCTCACTGCCTGAGGACAGATGAAGAGAAAATGGGAAGAAAAACTGAAGAAGATTGAAGAACTAGAATCTCAATATAAAAGAAACCCACTTTGCTCAGCTTATAGGCCAAAGCTGTCCAAACCATGGCAACCATCCTCTGTTTGGAAAATATTTCCCCGACAAGCTCAAGCTTTTGACTATGTAAAAACCTGCAAAGAGGTGAGGCATCAGATTGTTACAAGAATTACTTTACTATTGAGATACTTTGAAGGTTTGAATTGGCTTTTAAAGTTGTGGTAGTCTACAAAGTAAATTTCAGGTTACAGGATTCTTGTGTTGTGCAATCCTGGTACATCATGTTATTTGAATCCTCAAAGGACAGCATGGGACATCCAGGGATCATAACTGTAATAAGCATGATGTCTAACATTAGACTTTAGATCAGGGGCAGGAAATTATTTCGGGCAGAGGGCTGCTTAGAGGGCCCCATGGGTTGCCCCGCCCCCTGGTAGGTGCCTCACCATCTTGGGACTGGAAGTCCCACTCCGTAACCCCTTACCTTTGCCACAAAGGTCCCTCCACTTGCCCCCAGAAATACTCCTTTCAGCAAGGGGTTTTGCCATTTCAGAACCAGAAAAATACCCAATTATATTTTAAAAATCAAACATCTACAACATTCATTAATTTGATTTAAAAAAATATTTTTGTCCTGATTTACATGTGTTTGTGTAGTGTACATAGAGGTGATTATACAGTAGCTTAAAATGAAGTCTTACTATTGTATATTGTGGGGGGAGGTGGGGAGCATGGGGGGTGGGTATAGGTTAGAGGGCTGTTGATGTGTGGGGGTGTGTGTGGTGGTTTGGCAGGGGTGGATAGGTATACAGAAGAGCGGGTCTAAACCGGGGGGATATGTAGCCTCATT